ATAAAATGCCCAAAGATATAAGGTTAGTAAAATCAATCCAAATCTTTAAAGTATTCCAGTACTTAATGATGAGAACATGGGAACCAGCTCTTTCATAGTGATGATAATGATATGATAGGCTGATTCAGAGTCAAATTACACAAGTAAAAATTATATTTCATGATACTACTTTTTTACATAAACCAACATCTTTATGTAAACAGTCCCAATTTTATAACACAGGAGGGATGGTGGATATATTTTTGTATATCAGTGAAAAGGTTAATGGAGTCCCCTGCTCATCTTAGGACCATTTTTATCAAGTGGGAGACTTTGACACTCCAATAACCTCCTAATAGCCACACTGCCCCTTGGCTTATTAGGAAACCCACCAGAATATAGCGAATGCTCTGTATATTCAAGTACCTCTCACATTTTAGAGAAACATCATCAATCTCAGATCATTTGAGAACAACTGGGTGCCTGCCAGGGAACAATCTGCTCTTACATGTAGCAAGATGGGAGATGACATTTTGCAGCTACCTCAAAGAAATCTACCCTGTTACTTGTGAAATATATATATATTTGAAATGTATGCATGCAAAACGACATACTATGAGAAAAGTACATCAAACGAAAATAGGTCAACATGGGTATATGACCAAAAGGGTAGACATGAAGGCTTGCCAATAAACCTCATTTGGGCCTCATGCAGAAGGATGAGTGGCTGCCAAATTTCTGACATGGTTGAAGACTCACTATTGTAGAGCAGTAGTGGCTGTAACTACCTGGTAGGAATTAGATAATGACCAGATGAGCTCTGACAGGTGGCAGATCTTCTGTTCACCAATATGCATGGAATGAATACAAATGCCATCTGTGGAGGAAATATTCATTTGTCAAAAAAATTATGACAATGACCTGTGAGACTAAGATATGCCTGTACTTCAGCTGCAAATTGAGCTTTGCAACAGAGTTATTATGCAAGTTTAATGGTTCATGTGCCCATTTTTAGGTTGTGGTTTCCATACTCCAGTAAAGTACTTCAAATTTTCATTGAAAATGTCCTGTTTCGAGAGGTTGAATTGAAGTCTCAAAATCCACCACCACTTTCTGCATTCACAATAAAATGCGATTTAGCTCAAGCTAAAATCTTTTTTTTTCCTTTATTGCCTTTCTTTCAAAAACCAATTCTACAATAAGTAAAATAACATTGAGTAGAATTTTCATAATCAAGGATGGGTGATGTTTTCACAAACTTTCCTACGTAATTCATTCTTTCCATCATTTCAGAATTGAGATTTCATGGAAAGTCCTCTAAATTCACGAGAGCAGGAATTGGTTGCAGTACGTAAACTTGAGTACACTGTACATTTTCATGTTTACCCACCAGTCACTACCATTGAATAGGCCAGAGGTTGGGAAAAGTGGCCTTTCTTTTTCGCGTTTTGCAATTCATGTATTTTTGAAGATGAAATACTTCATTCCTTACTTCTGCGGTCAACATTAATGCTAAGGCATGCACAATGAGAATATTTACAGGGCAAGAAAAGTGCCATCACGTCACTATTGGCAATTATCCTGGACCTTGGATTATGCACTCCTAAGCCAAACCTAAAGTTCAAAGGTGGTAATATAGCTTACCTCCATCTCCATCATGGGTGAGGCATCAGACGCTTGCAAAAAAAAATAATATACAAAATACAATTAAAACCCCCGAGAAGTACTTTATATGGCTAATTGCGGGCGCGTCGAACATTTGCCATAAACCCGAAACTATGGCAGGCATAGCCTAGGCCTAAACTAACGGACAATTTTCCCTTTACATTCTCCTTTGACATTCCTTTCAGTGAATTTTTTCTGCTGATTTCACCCCTTCATCCTTACGGTGGCGGAAGCGGGAAGGATTTAATTCACCCCTCGGGCACAGATTATGGCAGGGTGCATAGAAAATGCAGATGTCGCTCAAGTTCCGTGACATGTGGCGCCATTCACGGAGGGGGTAGGGGGTGCATTCTATTCTTCTGCTATTCAATGTAGGAAAGAAATCCACAGGAAAGGAGAGGTAGATGAGTACGAACCGACTTTAATTAGACACATTCTCCCTTTTTCTCTGCTTTAAAATTTGGCGCACACGTTTCAACTCTCCCCAAATGATCCGCATCGCTGAAGGAAATTCCACTGTCTTAAATAACAGCCCTTTTTTTTAGTCCCATCTTTGTCGAACGTGGGCACGGCAAAGCCGACCGCAGTCATCCCTCGAAATCGAACAGGGGGCGAGTGTAATCGTTCCTCGCATGACCTTTCCTCGGGTTTTGCGTCTCGGTCGCCCGACGACTGCCGATCGACTCCATTTCCGAGATCGAAACCGCTTTCTCTCTTGGTGGCCGTTGACGCGTCCCGACCACGCGATGATCTTCGGTCCGTCCCCGCTACGTTCCGGAATCCAGTCAGTTTCGAATCCTCGTCGACGCTCCGCATGCATTCGACGAAGAACGCGCAGCGCTTCCATCGGCTTCGTTTCCTCGCTTTTCCCTCGCTGTCGGGCGGAAAGAAAGGTCGGCGATCGAGGGAAAGAAGAGAAACGAAGCACAGGCGTTGACGAGGATGGAGATGGAGAATCTTCCCTACCTAATCCATGCCTATTCCACTCGTCCGAGTTGTGAGTGGTCGGATACATTTCTCGTTCTCAGAGATAGGATATGTCCATGTGGAGAATCTGGAGAACGTGGAGCCTGAAGAGCTGAGGTAAGCGTGACCGTTGGAGGAAATCTTAATGCCTAGAGAAGTACCACTCCTGCCTATTCTCAAAGCATTCGCATAGACTCGCACAGAATTCGAAAATGATATATTGCTTCCATGGCTAACCGATGCCGAGAGAGCCGGTAGGGATGAGTGCAATCACCGAAGAAAACGCCAAAGAAATTGCTGATTTTCAAAATTTAACATTTACATCTTCGGACTCGTTTACGGCTCCAGCACCATTTTCCCAATCACACTTTCCCTGTTTGAAAAAGAAATCCTGATGCCAGTGAGAAATCCACGCAAATCTGAAATAAATAAATAAATACAAGCCTGAAATGATTGATAATTAGAACTAGAATAAATCATAATTGAAGAGCGGATGCTGCCAGCTCATGCAGTTTTCAAAACGAATGGATGAAAATGCCACGATTTTAAGTTGTCTCACGATGGCATGCCCTAATTTTTTAATTACGTTCATCCCAAATTACCTTTGCTTTAATTTGAACCAATGTCGCCCGAGAAGAATATGAATACCGCACAATTTCATGAATAGAAAATTCCATCAGAATGAAAATGAGAATGCAGTCGACTATTTCGATGCAAAGGGGGGGGGGGGGGGGCCGATCCTTTCTAGCAGAAAATGACTCAGAAACTATAAGGAGTCAAGCGGGACAACGAACGGTGTAAAGCACATGTGTGTTACAAGAGAAGTAAAGTTTTTGAATGTCCTTCAATTACGTCAAAACTATTGTTTAAAAAAATTCGGACGAGTTGGCTCTGAAATTCGGCACAAATTTAGCACCAAGCCTGCATAAGAGGAGAGAAGTTTAGTCTAAAAATGACTGATGATCATGGCGTAGTTACCGCCCTCTTATCGCACTCTCACCGTGCTTTTACCGTCATGCGGATGCGGTAATTGCATGCTGAAAAATCTCATCCGGCACGTCCAGCTGCTGGAATCCTGCAACTCAGCGAGAAAATAACCCTGCAAAAGTAGCCCTGCGAATAGCCCTGCTACAAGCCCTGCAACAGCTGGACCCAGCATGCTGTCGGTCCGTACCCGGCATGCTGTCGGTCTTTGCCGGATCGAATGATCCTCATTCCCATTGCAGAGATTGCAACAGATGCAGAGTCGCATCTGCCGGAATGAACTTGCAGTTTCTCAGCGAGGAATTCCTTCGGTCGCTTCCAATGACGAAATTGCCCCAACGCAATTGGGTTCGACGATCCTCTTCGAAAGAAAAGGGGGGGAGGGAAGGGGGAAAAGGGGGAAATAAATGTTCGCCCCATCTGTCTCGTCCAGTCTTCGCCGACAGTTCCGATCGGTCCGAATAGATTGGCCAGATGGCAGCTCGACTGAATGAAGAAGCCTCTTGCGGTCCAAGAATTTCCCGATTTTCTGCCTGATCGGAAGAGACTCGAGACGGAGGCGCATGACCCGTAACGGAATCCGTTGTCTATCCGCTGTCCGTCCGCCGTCTTATGGGCTCTGCCGGTGGATCGTGTAGTTCCCTAACAGAAGAAGAGATGTCGCTCCGATCGTTGCTCCCGGTCGAATCAAATAATCAAAGAGTAGGGCACAGATTTTTATTTTTGTTTTTTTCCTGCACATGCAGATACAAGGAAAAGGAGGATTTGGTGACCACCTTTTTTTTTATTCTCTTTCTCGCCGACCTTATCGTCGTGAGGGTGTGCATCCCCGATCGGAATAAAAATAAATAGGCAAATAAATAAATAACGAGGGTGAGGAAAACGAGTGAAAAAAATAATAAATAGCAACCAGGATCGTTCGAGGTAACGAAAAAAAAAAAGCTTCTCTCCCTCCAGGGGGGACTCACTTTGGCTTCCCTTCCCAACAAATATTCACCAACGAAATGCATCTGGTTTCCATCCGGTTTCCATCCGGGGAATTCTTTACACTGGACACGAGAAAGATTCCGAAAAACCATTTACGCCGACGATCACAAAGGGGGACAATACTGAATCGGATCACGCACGAGGACAGAAACGAGGCAGGCATTCCACACAAACATCTTGTCATCACCCTGAGTACGAACATGAAACAATAACAACAACAACAATAACAACAATGATTTTCACTCTCACGATGCGGTTCGGAGGAGAGACGGGGATGGATCGATAGAAAGGTTGAATCTGTCGGTGTTGAGCAAGTACAAGCCATCACAAAAAGAGGGGGAAATGCCAGGCAGCGATCGCGGCACGATCGAGGCACGATCGAGGCACGACCGGTTCTATCACGAGTGAGTCGGCTTCACTTAGAGGAATTTCCGCCCAAGATCGATCATTCTGGCCTTGGCGTAGTCGGTGATGGCCTTGCCCTGGAAGGGGATGCCGTACTTGCGCAGGTCCACGCTCTCGATCATGTTCTTCATCTCGCCGAAGTCGTAGGGACTGCCGAAGTCCTTGAGGCTGACGGACTCCTGCACCGCCTCACCAAACCTCCGCACCTGATTGGTTGGATCCAAATGTTCTCTTTTTAACCGCGAGGACAGGTGCATGTACCGTTTTGCGTTTATTTCGAGTGACTTTTATTTTATTTTTAATTAAAAAAATTAGTTTAATTGATAATTTTAAATATGTATTTAATATTTAAACTCAAGTTTTGTTCTAATTTAAAAATGTAATATTAAATGGTTGAACGGGGCCGGTGATTTACCTCGAGATGCGCAGGATCGCGAATACAATAAAATAATTATAGGCTTTCGAGTACGAAAAAGAGGAAGACGTCGTCGCGGACGTGAGATATGTATCAATCGCGGTCCGACCTGACCCACAAGTGGAGCAGGAATCGTGATGATACATGACTTGCATGACGCCATGACACATGAGCCGCAAGACGCGTTCGAAGAGGTCGAGGTCGACGACTCGAAGGGAAACGGAATCCTATCGCCGTCTCGGCCATGAGAAATGTGGGAAAATATTTTTAAAATTTATTTTCTAAGTTCTTTTCGACGAAAATTTCCGAGAAAAAATTATGACGATAAAATTCGCGACCCAAGCATTTAACTCGGCTCGAATGACCCGCCTTTCCCTCGTCACGAGATGTTCTTTACTGTGCAATTAGAGAAACTCGCAGGAAAGAAAGAAGTGGATCAGGTCACTCGTTTTCGCGGTCCTCTGGAAGCCTCTAAAAGCCTTTCAAAGGATGCAGGAAATTACCGCTCGTTATGCGTAATTAAGGGCTTGGAACGGCTGCCGTGCAGCTTCCACGAAAATACACGATCTTCCGTGATCCGTGGGCCCTGGGAATTGGCACGGCTCCATCCGGAATTCCGTCGTCCTCGCCCGAACGGGAGAAAAAACCGTCAGGAATCCGGCGGAATCCCACACGAACCGGCAAGGAACGCAACGGTCTCGAAATCCGAGCCCCCGTTCGGGAGAGGAAACGCATCCGCGAACCGAATCGATGAACGGTGACGCAGAGGGAGGGAGGGAAGGCGTGGGTGGCCCTGCCGAACGCATGCCGTCCCGAGTGAGAAGAGAAAGAGGCTGGGGACGCCCACTCTCCGGTCCGATTCCTTCCAAGCGGGTAGGAAAGGTAATTCCCTCAGAGAATTAGCTTTCCGAGAATTACCTTTCCAAAAAAGGCAATTTTCTCCTTTCGAGATAATGAAGGGTCTCGGGAACGGACAGGGGAAAACGTCATCGGAAGACACGAACAATGTCACGTCCGGTTTCACGTTTCTCGTACCAAGCCATCCGTACCCTTACCGTTCGATTGACTAAAAATATCAAATATCATTTTAAAAAAAACTTAATGTAACTTAAAAAACTTATAAGTACTGCGAAATGGTCATGGGGAGCCTGCTTCTCCTTTCCATCGGCTCCGTGTCGACTGTCAAAAGACGCCAAAAAGGCGGACTCGACGGCTCACTCCCCGTGACGAGACCGTGAATATGCACGTCGGCCTCATTTCCCGAAACGAGGTCGACGGCGGGAATCGCTCAGGGAATTCACCGCAAACCCATCCGTATTTTCCTTCGTATTCAAAGCCGGAAAAAAGTATTTTTGAACGGAATGTTTCCTGCAGCAACGGGATCTCCATTAAAATCAAAGAGTCGCCCGTTACCGAGTTCTTTTTTCACGCTCCTGCTTTCCAAAGTCTTTCTTTTTAATTTAGTCTCATTTATTCCGAACTCATAATTAAATTTATTAGCTAAGCTTGAAAGTTAAGTTATTTTAACGGTATTTTAATTACATTTGATATTTTTAGTCCATCGAATTCTTTCGAGAGGCGAAATGGGCACGGAATCTGACGGGACTTGCGGAACGAGGTGTGCCGTCTTGCCAGACCGTGAAGTTCACACGAGAAGCCGATGAGGAACGAGCCAGGCGGAAAGGACCGAAAGAGATATTTTTCGGATTTTCCACGTTCAGAAGAAAAGCAAATAGAAGCGTTTCCGTTCTACATCCCACGTAAAACTTCATCCAATGTTCCGTTAAATATATATTAATATGTATTAAATTTTGTAATAAATCATTTCCTTCATTAAACAAAAATACATTTTAAAAAATTCTCATGTATATCAGAATGGTGAAATTAACCAGGTTACGGAATACCCGCCCACGGCGATACCAAAAATGGAACACAATTTTCAGTCAACCTATCAATCATCGATTTATCACTTATCATCATCAGTCACCAATCATCAGCCTCCAATTATCAGCCTAAATATTAGAAGGCGTGGAACGGAATCCCAGCCTTCTGATAAGGAAAATGAGCATGTCGCTGGGGCGAAAACAATTAAGACTCCGTGGGAGCCATCTTCCGCCTTCTTCATTTCAGTTTTTTTTTTTTTACCGTTCTCCTAAATGCGGAAATACAAGGAGAAGTGCGATCCTGGTCCCTCTCGTAACTCCGCACCATCACTTTTTTTTTCCTACTTCATGAATCGTTTAAAGGCTTGAGGCAGATTTCCGAATAAGATTCCTTGAATTTCCTTGAAAATTTCAATACCAGGAGTGCCATGGCAAACGGTGAAAATTTTCACAATTAAGGATAAGGTTTAAGGATCGCCGCACGAGCATGGCTTTACGCGTTTCCCAGCTAAATTTTTTGTATTTGTAAAATATATATTTCATTTTTATTTCTTAGACGCAGGTGCGGGATAGAGATTTACGCAAAGACGTTCGTTTGATAATAACAATAATAAATAATAATAATATAATAAAATGAAACAGAGACGTGGAGAGACAGACGTGATTAAAGTTCATAAGCGATTCCGAGTCCGAGAAAAACAATGGCTCGTTGAAAGCCACGTCTACCGAAACACGCACGGAACCACACATTGCATAAATTTCACCGTGCATTCTTTGCTCTCCGAGGAAAGGGAACGAACCTGTTCAGGGTTGGGCACGAAATGCTGCCAGGAGAGGGATCGCATCGCCTCCAGGACATCCGTGCTGCAGTCGGCGTACACGACGGAGCAGCTGTGACCGTCGAGACCGGTTCTCATCGCGTCCTCGTAGTTCTTCATCCCCGGGATCTTCGGGCTGAAAGGACAGACTCGTTTTTTAATCTGCGTCGGTCCGGTGAGGGACAGCTTCGCGTGGTCCGGTGAGACCCCAAAGTTTTATAGTCCACAGAAGGAAGTTTAGTAGAGCGTGAGAGACGGTGTAGAGACCACCTGCGCACTTACATGACTAATGGATCGCTCCCTTCGGGCTCCGAACCGATTACTCCCGGTCGTTAGTCAAAAGAAGATACATTTTTTTCCCCTTCTGGTTTTACCTGAATGTGCGGGCGACGAAGAAGGCGAGGATGTTGGATCGGCCGACGCGGGACTCAAGCTCGCAGACCGCCTTCTTCTGGCACACTTCGCCGTCGATCTCGGCCAGTTCGAGGGCCTTCCTGATCAGGTCCCACCTGGAAACGAGAAAAAATGTTTGTCTTCGTCCGACGTCTCCATCGTTGATGAAAAAAATTACTAACATTGGAAATAATAGGTTTTTAAAAAAAGTTTGTTTGAGATTTTATAATTTATAGGAAAATAAATTTGTAATTTAATAGAAAAATAAGCGTGGCAAGCAAATGACAGGAATTTTATCAGAAGGAAATGAGAAATATTTCCTGCCGTACGAGTGATAGTCGGTGAGCCGATCCCAGTCGACCTGGTACCGGGTCGCGAGTTTCCTGCCCGCGACGGCCACGCCCGCGCCGAGGGTTCCCATCGCGGCTGCGATCCCCAGGGCGAATGCGGACGCCGCCCCGATCGCCAGACTCGTTCGGTCCAATCGGGCTACCATGTCATCGATCCCAGAGACTGAAAATAAAAATAAATAAATAATAATTAAAATGAAATAAAAAATTTAATTAATGAATTCATTAATAATTTAAATAGTTTTCTTTCAAATATATTTTAAAAAAGCATTTAAAATAAATAAATTTCATACTTTCGTGACGTTTTTCCAGTTTTTTTTTTTACAAAAGGATATTTTTTTCAATATAAAAAATATATGCGAGAGGTGTGGTACTCTAGTACCAAGTACTCAAGTACTAATACTTTCCTAGCACTTGCGTGCTCTATCCGAAATAAACGATAATGAAAATCCATGTAGGAACGCTCACAGAAACGTCGAACCCGGGTCGCCATGGAGGAGAAGACCCCGGGACTGTTGGCGTTGTTGGAGTCGCTGTAGTCGTAATCCTCGTAGTAAGGCCCGCCCGCGGCGGCAGCCCCAGCGCCGCCGCCTGCACCGCCGGCATCGTCGTAATAGTAATCGGCGCTAGGACGGGCCCCGCTCTGACGTCGCTTGCTGTCGCTTCGTCGACGGTTCCCCTTGCGTCGCTTCTGCTGGGGCTGGGCCTGGCGGTAGTAGTCGGAGTCGTAGCCCTCACCGGGGGACGCCGGGTAGTCGCTGTAGCCGTCGCTTCGATCGTCGGCGTAGTAAGCCGTCTGCTGCGACGACGACGTCGCGAGCGACGACGACTTCTTGCTCGGCTCTTTCTTTCCCTCCGTCGTCGCGCACGCGACGAGGGCCAACAGCGCCGCACATGCCCCGACACTCAACAACAACTTCATCTTTCGAATCCAACAAATGCACCTCTCGGGGGAAGAGATGAAGGCGGGAAGAAGAGAATCTGAAACACGAACAACTGGATTGGATCAAGTGGCCTAGATCAACTTAACGGGACTCTTTCTACTCCTCTACCCCTCTCCCCCCCCCCTCCCTCTCCCCCCTCCAACGGGATGCAATGTGATTATATTCAGAGAAAATGCATCATAAATCTGGTTGAAAAAAAGAAAGCTGCATTATAGGGTAGTACTCAGTTGAAAAATCCACCCCTACACTTGGAAATCGTTATCCTTTCATTTTATCATGAGTTTAGAAAGCTTTTTTCCACTTTTCTCGCGCTCAGAAGAAACTTTTAAAAAATTTCATATCTTTATATCCAACAGCAGCTCAATGGGTGCAATCATGATGCCCTAAGGGACGATCTAATCAGGGAAATTGAGAAAGCACAATTAACTTCTGAAAATTTTGTGCATTTGTAACATGAGTCTCGACGGAATAACCCATAATATACAATGAAAAGATATTTTATGATCAATAATTATTACAGACTGAAATCGTGAGTTTTCACATCCATCCCCGCGACATAGCCCCCAGATTCACTTCTCTTAGTAAAGGAATCTTAACCAGTGAGGAATAAGATAGGGACTGCCACAACACTTTCACTGGATTTTGCCAAAACTTCGGTTTCTTTTGGCCTTTGAAAAGAGACACGAATCCACAATAACAAGTTTCTTGAATTTTCTTTTAAAAAATTCCTCCCGGTGAAGGGCATGGAAAAGGACCAAGTCCCTCCCACTGAAATCGTAAACCCTCCCGACCCTGAAAATCAATAGTGAATGCCGTTCCCAAGAAACCTCTACAATGACAACCGCCCCCTTACCCCCCCGCGTCCCCTTGAATCTCTGTGCGCATGCGTCACGGCCGACTTAAATTCACCTCCAACGGGATGCAATGTGATTATGATAGCTCCCCTGCGTCATTACCTCTCCGAGATTTTTCTCCTTTTTTCGAGAGTCAGGTGCGGAAAGACGTCAGCTGCGCGGACCGACAGTGCGTTAACCTGAATTTTTTTTTTCTTTTCCCGGAAGGAGAGTGACCTTGTGACCGGGAAAAGCCGATTCCTATCGGCGACGACAATGACGTCGTCAGGCGTCTCATTTCCATAACTCGTGACGAGGGACGTCCTGGCACAATAATTTATTTATAACGGTCCACCGTACGGAAAACCTGTTGCGCTTGTTCAACGTCTCGGGCGATCTTCTCCTCGGTTTAAAAACTTCTTTTGTAACAAAAGTCGATATTTTAAATATATGAATATTATCTAAATATAAATATAATATAAATAGGAAAATATTCTGAAACGAAGAAGTGGTAAGGCTGATCGCGAGAAAAGGTCACTTTGTATTTAAGTGATGGAAGAAATCGAAAATCGACGCGGATCGCGATGATCGATATGAGAATCTCAAGACGGATCAGCGATGAAAATTGAGAAACTCAAGACGGATCAGCGATGAGAATCCCAGTACGGCCGCGTCTACCGATCGATCAAATGTAAGGGTAACCACCGAAGGGCGTTGGACTAACAGCGGACAGATACGAGAAGATACTGCGAGGCTCACGCTTGTGCAACTGAGAGAACAACTGAGAGGACACTTTCCGGGGAGGACACTCTTCCCCGACTGGAAGGGAGTGAGTGGCTGTCGTTCGAGACACTTCCCCGACTGGAAGGGAGTGAGCGACTGTCGTTTCTCCCCCGGTGCACACTGGCACCCGCTCTGGCGAAGCATCACTTCTTCTCTAGGTCAACCTCCCTCCGGCTATTCGCATCTCCCTCCTCCTCCTCCTCTTCCCTCCCTCCTCCCTCCTCCCTCCTCCTCCTTTTTTTTTTAATCCTTCGCTTTTTTCTCTCGTATGATCGTCGCAAACGCGTGGACCTCGTAAACTTTCGATGGAAACGTCGCAACGAACTGCTTCAGAAGCGTGGCAACTCACGTGGCGACTACCGATCGCACCAATCGCACTCCCCGCGGCAAAACTAAAAACCGCTAACATGATTTAAAAGTCCAGATTTAAAGTCCCCTTCGGAGTCGAAGTCCCCCAGGCTCGGAGGTCATGGGCGACTGAGATTCCCTCCACGGTCGATCGAGAAGCCGGCTGCGCGATAGATCCAGGCTCCAGATGACACTCTCCGTCTAACTGGACATTCCATCCAGATGCGAGGGGGGAAAAATCCTCCGGGCGACCCGGAGGGAAACAGGTACTGGATGCACTCATCCGCGTCTACCATACCGCAATCCTCCCCCAGAAAAAAAAGGATCCGACATGCTTCAAAGATGAAGATGACGGAAGTGGACGGATATCATCGTCGTTTCTCGACAACACGGAAAGTAACAACGTTCATAAGTCACATATATTTATTATTATTATATCATTACTCGTATTAGTATAATATTATATCGAGAACCTGAGAAACTTGTTCTGCTTTTCATTTTCGTCATCTTCTTCAGGATGCTACTGCCCTTTACTGGCCTATTTTCCTTTTTATGGGGAGATGTCGATGATCTAGTTCCGCGACCGCGTGACAGCCCGACGAAGAAGAAAGAGATCTTTTTAGTGTTCCTGTTCCTCGTCACGAAAGATCGCGTTAGAGCGTGTGCTGGCATTTTATCTGGTCGTCGTGCTCCATATCCGCGGTTGCCGACCCATAAGAGCCACTCCCGGCTTCACGGCTTTTATCTTTGATCCTCTCTTGAATTAGCGGGGCTTTCGCGGACCAGCCCCGACGCATTCCCGCTTGAATTTCTGCGAAAAAACGTGGGAGTAAAAATCCTTTCGGTGTCGCGATCGGAGGCGAATGTAGGTGAAATGACTCATTTTTCCCGCTCCAATTCTTTCACCTTTTATCATCCCTTCGCCATTTCCCTGGAATGGACGATGCGTCCCATTTCATCAGCGAGAAGACCCATCCAAATACGCAAGAAAAAAAAACAAGGGATGAAGGAGGATGTTGTGGTGGATGGATGTGGGTCATCTCTCTCACACACATTCTCTCCTCGTTCAGTTCCGGGTCTCCTCCTTTTTCCTCACTTCTCACCTCTGAGAGAGTAGGGATGCAACATGTGGGCAACCCGATCCCGTTCCGAGCGCTGAATATGGAGGCTGGGCGAGAGGAAAAGTCGATGAACCGACGATTCCGTGGATTACGTCATCGGGAGGGTGGACGCGAGAATGACAGCATTGTGGACAGGCTCGAAATAACATTGTGGACATGGCGGAAATAACAGTGGCAGGCGGAAATAACATTGTTGACGGGGCAGAAATAACACTATGGACAAGGCGGAAATAACATTGTGGTCGCGGCCAAATTGTTACCGCGTCCACCGTCATTTTCTTTTTCGTTATTCCATAGTGGATGGAAACCGTTATGCCGAAGAAAAATCGGTCGGGATGGAGTCAGGAGGGCAGGAGGGGAAGACCCTGTTTACGGGTGGAGGGGAGAGATGTTTACAGGTGGAGAAGAAAGATGTTTACAGGTGGAAGGGCATGGGATGCAGGAAGAGAGTGGAATCTCTATTGCCAGCGGCGAGAGTCACCGTTCCGCTCTCTTCTTGCATCTTCGACCTGCGTTTTCTACCTTCATCTTTCGAACGGGAGAGTCTTTAGAGGGCGGAGACGCGTGAGTCCTCAGAGGGCGAAGATGCACGCGAGTCGTACTTCCGGTTTCTTTCGCTTCCATTCGTGGGTCGGCGATGCGTCGCGAACGTTGCACGTGGGTTAGCTGGATTCATACTTGGTGCGTTCCCGATCGCACTCTGTGTCCTTTCGTATCCGGTTCTTTCCCCCCAATTGCCAAGCATTTCGAGTGAGGACTTCCTTGCGGAAACGAGCACGTCACCCCTCTCTAAGAAAATATTGAAATTCATGTGCCAAGTCTTTTTTTGTTCTTTTTACCCAGGGTCAAATCAACACAGCACACCCTTTTTTTTTTTCTTGTTTTTTTTTTTTTTTTTTTTTTTTTTTTTTTTTTTTTTTTTTACTTTTTTTTTTTCCTTTTTTTTTTTTTTTTTTTTTTTTTTTTTGTTCCCGAGGTCAGCATAAAAACCACGGTGCATCGGAATACCCAAGGAAAAAAACCCTAGCAGCTCCTCATAGGAATGCAGAAGGCGTTGCCCTCGTCCCCCGACCCACGAGCGAATGGATCTGTATTACTCCCCCCCCCTGCCTTCTTCCTTCCAAGATCTACTTTACATTCTAACTCTCTCTCCAATGTCAAAGATTCCCATTCGTTCGTCTGTTTCCGGCCTCTAAGGTCAATGTCACGAGGTCAAAGTCACGCGGTCAACGTCACGAACAAATCCAACGGTAAAACGCACACGATCCTTTCAAAAGTTTTCATATGCATCCTTTCGTGTCTGTAAAAATGATACGGTTCCGATTGAAGTATTTCTAAACCATGCAGATGCGCAAATAGCTATAATATTACAACTAATAATAATAATTTTACCAATAATATCCTTAGTCTCCCCACCCCTGCCTCATCGACGGCTTTGGTGTTGTGGATCGATCACCCACAGAACTCCAGATCGAGCGACGTGAAAGCTCCTCGCCACGCCCATCACCTGGCCGTCGTCGAACGACTGGAAATTCCAACATGCAAGAGAGGGGACTGCTCGAACTCGAATTCGAGCTGTCGATATGTCAAGTTAGCGAAGACGACGGAACTACGACAGATGGGGGGTTACGAAGGGACGAGCCGCTTCGAGGCCGGCAAGGTCGTCGTCGATGAGTCCTCGGTCGGGATGGATCTTAGATGAAATTGGCTGGACTGGTGAGAGCTTTCTTTCAGGTCCAGCCAGGACCAATGAATTGGTACTCTCAAGTACTCGAGACTACGAGAGGCAGATACTGACGCTGGATGTCGAAGGTTGCTGCCGATGCTGTCCTGAAACGGTTTACCATCTTTCAAATGCTTGCCCCAAACTAGCTCCAAATTAGCCCAAACTTG